TGCTACCTTTCTCTCGTTCTTTTGTTTTTCTAATTATTCTTAGCACAGCTGCCAAGTCTGAAAGCCAGTAAATTATATATATAGTACTAAAATAATTATCGACTTCAACTAGAGCACATATGGTGAGTTAACAAAACAAAATAATCCTTCATCTGAAAAATTAAGTTTTAATGCTTGTTTAAAAGGAATCCCTAACAAGGCAAGGCAAAATGTCCTGTCTTCCCTCCTAAGTCATAGACAGCATATTTTCAAAAAGGGACTTCTCACATAATTTTGGTAACTACCACTTTCACTTACCCGATTATACAGCTGGGTGTACATAGTCATAACAAAAATGAAGGCAGCATGAATACAACCCAGCGGTGCTAACAGGAGAAAGAGCGTGAAGGAAGCATGGTTTTGGTAGCCACAACAGTTGTTGATCCAGGGACAGTGATGGTCCATCTTCATCACACATCTAACAAGAAAAATTTACATAAAACATGCAGCATCATCAATTTTCCATAACTTTGGTCTTCAAAATATCAAGCCAAAAAAAAAAATTCAGCATATCTCTGAGTCACAGGGGAGTTACATTTCACAGGGGAGTTACATTTCATGAACAGAAAGACAAATCTCTGTGAGTTTTTAAACAGCTCTGAACAGAACTTCTTTTAAATTTAAAGGGCAGGTTCTGTAACAGCTCCCAAAGAAAAGATGTCTGCTATGGGTAAGTTTGTTTAGAGAAGTCAGGAAGCCATTGAGAGGTTCACTGTAGAAAAATGAGCATAGTTTCTGGTTTTCCTTGAGCTCTGAAATGCAGTGATGGATGTGGAGAACAAGAGTCTCAACAGTCACTTATAAATCTCCACTGGGGTTAATGGGACCTTACAGATGCCTGTAACTTCCTTCCTTCCTGTTCTCATCCTTCAGATGTGGAATCCCCGAGCTAAGCAAGCTGATTTTGGAATATGAAATAGAGTAGAGTAAGCAAAGTCTCACTGTGCTTCCTTTATTGTTGCTAGAAGAAAATCTCCTGGCCTCCCAGTGAACTTCATTCACCACCAACGGTTCCCCTAAACCTCACTGTTACCACCATGAATTTCTTATTAAGCAGTGGATGAAGCTGTTTATTTAAAAAGGTTCTTGCTTACATAACATTTTTGTAGTGATTCCGTTTCCTTCCCATTAAGATTCTGATTTAAAAGACTTGAGATAATAGGCATCTGGATTCAATTATTGTATTTGTACACACCTTAAAGGTCAGTCAACTAAATAAGGAACAAAGTAGGTCGTCTTTGTAATTTAAACTCGGGACAACTCTAAAGCTAGGCAATATATGACAGTTTAAAAAGCACAATTAATCCTGATCTCTGGAAACAACTCGAAGGTGAAATTTTTACTATGCTCTTGGTAGGGAATGAAGCTAAGTCAATCTGTATTGTTCTAGAAAAATCTCTCTCCACTTAAAACATAAAATGAGTGCAAATTATTAGGATGGCTCATTTACGAGTACAATTGTGGTTCTAGACGCTTAAATATTTCAAAAATATCTTTAATAAAACTAGGAGTGGCATGGTAGAAATATTCACAGAAGACCAGTAATCAAGTAGCTCCACCCGCCCCACGCAGAGCAGACACACAGTACCTGTTACACTTCCTGCAGTGATGCGACCGTGGTGCCTTGTATGCTTGGCAGACTTTACAATACTGGAGGTACATGCTATCCTGAGAGTTTTCCTTGGCAGCAAAATAGAAACAAAATTATATCAGATATCTGAACATAATCATTATTCAAGTCTAATGAATAAATGTTGTGACTTTTTTTGGGTGATGGGGGGAAGAATAGAATCTTAATTTGAATTTTCAGCCCTTTTATTTGGGCTACACTCTTTTTAAATAATGAATTTCTGCTAACAGCAGTGCCAGTTCCTGAGTACCCAGAAATGATCTGTAGTTTCTCTTCTCCAGGCTCTATCCAGATCCAGTATGACCAAGGATTAGTTGGTTCTACTAAGATCCAGAATCTTGACATAATGGGAGGAGTACAGAGAAAACGTACCTGCAAAGTGGGCAAGGATTTTAGAGTGGGGATTCAAACATCAGAGTTGACTCCTTTCAGATATCTGGCTCCTCTCTTGAGCCATTTCGATCAAACTACTCTCCTTCACTGTAGTTTCTCTTTAATTCAAACCGTATATTGCAGAATAATATTCCTATGTCACAAGTGTGAGATTTCTGCTTGAAAACCTCTAATGACTCCCCATGATTTCACAATTTCTCATGTATGTGAGGCTACTATGACCTGCCTTGGTTTCAGGATTATCTGCAGGAGGCCATCTCTTTTCCAGTCAAACCAGGCTGTCCATGGTGTCAAAACTCCGGATCCCACCATTCCCTCAAGCAGAAATGTCCTCTTCCCCATTTTCTGCATACATTCCCCCTCCTTCCTTAGGTCTCCATCTGAAAAGGATTAGTTCCTTCCAACTTCAACATCACTCATCATTCCACGCTACAGTTTAGTTATTTTCACAAGGACCTTGGATTCTCTCCTCAGAGGTAGGTTTTCCAGAATATGAACTGGGTCTTACCCATCTCTGTACCCACTTCAACTAGTGTGCTCCTGTTTCTTCAACTTGAACGTACCTGAGAATGAGCTGGGGTTTTTGTTAAATGCGGATTCTGATTCCATAAATCTGGAGTGCAGCCCGAGATTCTGCAGTTCTAACAAGCTACCAAGGGATGTCCCTCAGCAAGGGATATGGAAATTCTGGAGCAAAAACTTAACAACTTGAAGTAGCCACAAAATCAACTTTCCAATGCAATGGTGTGGCTGCCATAACTTCAACACCTTATGATTTAAACCAGCAGTTTCTAAAGAGCTTTTCTCAGCTCTGAAGGCTGTTAATGTATTACAAGAAAAAAGATCCCAAAGCCAAACCACATTGTGAAATTGTAAGAGGGGTGCATGAAATGCAGTGTTTCTGAAACACTTAAACCATGGACTTTCCCTCTCCCTGTTTGTTTGTTTTTTAAATACAGGACAAATATTCAATGAAATCACTTTAGGAAATGTTAATTTAGATCAATGTCTTCAGACAGGTTTGAAATAAAGTCTTTGACCTTCAAAGGATCAATTATTAGAAAAATGTAGTCTCTACCAGGGCAAAATGGCTGTTTGCTATTATTGGTTGGCAGATGAGGAAAAAACTAAATAAGGATTATCATCAGACACATCATGGTAAGGAATCTTTTTCTTACCGGTTTCCATCCCAGAGGGACAAAGCCAGGACCAACGAACATGGCATTGAAGTAATTATAAAGAATCATGACAGTCCAATTGATCAACATGATGAAATTCACACTTCCTCCAGTGGTATGTAAGGGCCAGTACCACAACACAGAGTCAATCATGGCCATTGTCGAGCATATTGCTATAACGCCAAGAGCTATAATGGGACCCCAGTGACACAGTCTCTTTAATTCTTGGAGATTTTCAAACTTGATAATTGAGCAGAATGCACCCATTTTGGTGAGGAAGAATGTCTCCCTATTTGTAAAGAATTATAGATTTCCTTTTCCTGTGTACACATTTCCATGTGCCACAAGTCCACGTGTGCTCCTGAACTGTCATGCCTTCGAGTTGTGGGACGTTAGTGCAGATTATGCCATTTTCACTGTTACACACGCACAGCTCTTTATGGTAACTAGGAGAATCCAGTCTCTTGGTTTGAAACCCAATCTAAAGAAAACAAAATGAGAAAGTTCACTAAAACACTTTATTATCCTGTCTTTGTCAACACCAATAATTACCTAACCAAAGCAACCTCACAAGTGCATTACTTTGGGTGAGTATCTAGTCCAATACCAAAAAGAGCTATTTTGATCTTATCCAAATACAGGTTCAAGTCTGAATAGTACGTAAAATGTATATGCGAGTCTAAAATAGTTGCTATTCGCTTGTTCCCAACTTGTCAGAACCTTGACCGTCCAACGTTCAGTAAATGGTTTGAGCAGAGAAAGACTTTCAGAGTCGGGAAGCAGGGCCTCGGGAGTAATCTAATCTGGCTTCCTTCTTCGCAGGAAAACTGGAGACCAAGGTCACAAGTAAGTCATAGCTGAACCCATAATAAACCAAGACACCAAACTCACTTTACGGAGGTCTAAGCTGAGTCTCCAGTGAAGTCCTGTATACCAGGCATGGTCTAGATCACTTGGCTGCGGTTGCTCCCCAAACACCAACATCAGGATCTTTTGGGGCAAAGGTAAAAGATACGTGCGTGAAAGCAGTGAAAGGCAGCAAGAGGGAGGGGAGGACAGCAGTGTGTGAACTCGCGCCTGAAGGCGTACCTGAGCGTGAACATGAATGAGAACATGTGCTGGGGAGCTGGGGGGAAGGCGGCAGGGGGGAGAGGAGGTGCCTGCAGCAGCCAGGGAGGAAGAAGGCAGGAAGGCAAAAGCGCAGATCTGCAGAAAGCGACTTCCGACGGGTCTGCAGCGAGTGGCGGGGAGAAGATCTGAGCTACGCAGGAGACAGAAATTCACAAGCAACAGATGCCTCCGCCTGGTGCCTCCGTTTCCCGCCCGCGTCGCCAAGGACTTGAAATCCTCCCTCAGAGGCGGCACATCCCGGTAAGCGTTGCTGAGCTCAACACTGTGGAGATTCTGGCCTCTTTCGCGTGGGGCGAAGCCCGCCCGGACCGTGGTTACTCGTCCTGCCTGGACTCCCACCTCAGCTCGGTCCCTGGAGCCCGCGCCTCAGCCATCGCATTTCCGGGGCGCCTGGCTCACCCGGAACAGGTTTTCTTCTCCTCGGATCACTCGGTCAAAGGCGGCCCAGTGCAGCAAAGCAGAAGGTTGCGAGAGGCTGGAGCGCGGAGCCCGCCACGACCCGCTCGCCGCCCCGCCAGCGCCCTCGCTGCGGCTCCCGGCCCGGGCCCCGCGCGCAGGCTCCGGCACAGCCACTTCCGGGGGGGTCCGCCACGTCAAACTTCCCCCGGGAAGCAAGAGCCCGTGACCTGCGCCTTGGGGAGCTGGAGACGCTGTCCAGAACCTAGAGAAACAAAACCTTTTTTCCAGTGATTCCTGAGATCCCCTGTGTTTTCGTAGGCGTTTTTACACCCAGGCAGACGTGCTTCTTCTTGGTGAAATTCTTCATCAGGAAGCCCAAGCAGAAAGTAAAAGGCGCTCTCAGGCCAATTTCCGGAGGACCGAGATTGCGAAGAACAACCAGGAAGCGGCCGGCTGGGAGCTGTCCCCGGTTCTCCGCTCTGCTCTCCGGGGCGTCTCCCGGGGTCCCCGCGCCGCGTTCCACTCTCCCGCGTGACCCCCGCCCTGACCTAGGCTCCGACCCGGGCCGATCGCTCCGGAGCCACCATGTCGTCCGACTTCGAAGGCTACGAGCAGGACTTCGCGGTGCTCACTGCCGAGATCACCAGCAAGATTGCGAGGGTCCCCCGACTCCCGCCTGGTGAGAGCTCTGCCCGGCCTGGCGGGGGTGGCCGGGAGGGAGGCGGCTCGGGGCGGTGGAACGCCGCCGAAGCAAGTGTATCTCTGAGGCGCAAAGCCAGAGTGAGTTAGTTCCATCCCCCGGAGAGATGGAACTCAACTTGGTTGGGGTTAGAGAGACAGTCTAAGCTGGGTTTTGGGGTGCAGTAAAAAGACCCTTCGGAATCTGAGCCAGCCGGACTCGAACCCTCACTCCGCCACCTTGTAGGGTACTTGCTCAACTTTGGGAACGTTCCTCTGAGTCTTTGTTTTGTTTCGTTTCTTTTATAAAATATAGAGATGTGAGGAATTAAAGAGAATGAATGTAAGTACCCAAGTTAAGGGTCTGCACTCTGTAGTCACGCAGTTTTGCTAATGACAATGGTATTAGCGGCAGAATAGGGTTGAAAGTCATGATACCTTGAAACTGTTCACTTAGGTAAGTTTCTCAACCTCTCCCAAAAGTTGTTCTCGTCAATGGGGAGAACTGTAGTGTCTCACATAGAGTTGCTGTGAGATTAAATGATTTAACATATGTGAAGTTCTTTCTTGGTGTTAACTGCTATTATCATTAGTATTTTCCATACCCCCAACCTTATTTCTTGTCTCTCATCCTTCTTGGGAGCCTGTAACCCAATTTTGTGTAGATCTTGGTACAGACTAATTGTTCTACCTTTTTTTTTTTTTTTTTGTTCTACCTTTTAAAATTCCATAACTCCCATCTAGAAGTGTTTTCCTTTGTTTTGGTGTTTTAGCAAATTTTAATCCATGACCAACTGTCAACTATGTGAAGGTGGGGGCTATGCTGGCTCAGAAGAAAAGTGTTTAACTGAGAGAACAGATATAGAAATAGGTTATTTGGTAATTTTTGTTTGTAAGACATCCTCTTGGGATTTACCTTTCTTTACATGCAGGTTTAACTTGAGTAGTTAGTTGCAGATACAATTGTTACTTTTGGGCATAGTTTTGTTAGGGAAATTGAGTCATCACCCAGCTGCTAAAAGTGACTCTAACTTAGCCCTGGGAGGTAAAGTTTAGAAAAGGGAATGTTTCATGAACTGTGAACTGGTGGGCAACTTCAATGTCCACCTTGTAAGTCCATCCTTGATGACACCAATGATTTCACCTGGAGCAAAATTTTCCCTGCCTCCCCTGAAACTTGTGTGTTTTTAAATAATTTTCTTCCTTTATTTCTTTGTTTTTCTTCCCCCCCCCCACCTATTTTTCTGTTAATAGGGATATTTGCTTGAAGCCAGGATCTCTGAACTTACACCCCACCCATCTTCTGAAGTCCCAGTTAGTTCTGGAGGAGATGGATGATGTCTTAAAGAGGTTTATGAGTCCAAGTGAGGGAACAAGAGGAGAGAACCAAGGTAGCCTATACCACCGAGCACTGCTGCCTTGGAGATTTTTTGTGGAGAAAGTGGCTGTTGGCTCATCACTTCATGATCCATCACCTCGCCTCTTCTCTTCAGTTCTGCTTTTCTCCTGAGATCATCTTGATTTTATTGTCATTATTGTTGGAGACTACTTCCTTTGACTTCAGTCCCAAAGCCTCAGAATTTCAAGACTTGTGGTTTCAGTTGGATTTTTGTTCATTTGTAATTATAAGAGTTTTAACAATAGAAACATTTTTTGTTTAGGCTAATAGCTTTTGTATTGGGAAACTGTCTTATAAAGTAACAAAATCATCCCTGGGTACAAAGTGTAAAAACGGTTTCCAAGAATACAGATTTTGTTATGACTGATTTTTTTCTTGCCTTTATATTTTAATGTTACCATTCTAACCACCTAGAAGGAAACCTTTGATTTTTTAAAATAAAGCCCCTTGACTGTCCTTAGGTGTAGTGTCATGTGAGACTCAAACACAGTAGCTTCATTAGAATTGAAAGGAGGCTGTATAGCTGACAGTGGAAAAATACTTACTGATTTGAATAATTAAATAATAGTCATTCTTAAAAATGCAGTGGCTTCTCTCTTTATAATCACATGTACTTGTTCACCTTGTAATCTGTTTCAATTGATAAGTAGGAAAAAAATGGAAAAGTGCATTTTAGATGTCTGTCTGTGGACTAATAGAAATTAATATGTACAACCGTGGCACAACACTATGATTAAAAGTAATTATAATCCCTTTCTCTGGGCATCATTAGAGGTGACCCAAAAGAGATGAACTATAATTTACTTACATTAAGTAAAAATAAGAGACATTTTTCAGCCAAAGTGGTTTATTCTTCAACATTATTTAAATTAAAATCAATTGGGTAGGATTGACTCTAGCTAACTTCACTCTGTTGGGCATGTACAGTATATTCTCTTCCAAAGAGAAAAGATTGAACATTTTTTAAACTTTATTTTTAAAAAAGCAATTTAATAACTCTGTGATATGTTTTAAACAATAAAAAGACTTGTTCTTAGACTTAAGTGTTTGAATGTTAAGCTAACTTTAGTAATTGCACTAATGAAGTGGGTCAATCCCTGCTTAGTTAATACTCTTCTGGCACTGTCTTTGAAATTTGATTTAAAGGATTACTGCTCTGTAGTAGTCAGGAAAATGGATCAGTGGAAGCCTCAATTCATACTAATTGTGAAGTTCCCTTTCCTCTGGTGAGAAATCTAAGTTGGGGGATGCTTTATAGGTACAGCGCTTGTATCACATCAAGCAGTCTTCCCGAAGTATTTTGCACAAAATATTCTCTTGCAATTTGTTGCTTCCCTCACCATTCAGAGAGATATAAATGTTCTATTATGAATCCTTTCACTCACTGGCTGTAGTCAGAAATACCAAGAGTGGAATTAGGGCACATTGGGTATGATTCAGACAGAATCAGATCTGTTTAGAATCTCAACTTTGCTGCATACTACAAGTATAATCTTGGGCAACTTGTTTGACTTCTCTGAGCCTGCCTCTTTCATCTGTAAAATTGGAGGAGGGGGGTTTCATGCTATAAAATTCAAAGGAAATAAAGCATCTACCTCACTAGCACGTGTTCCCCCAAAATACACAATAAATTAGCCATCAGTGATATTATTGTTGCCGCTGAAGACACCCATTGGGAGAGTGAATCAGGACCAGCTCCTCAGATTGTGATATTAACTGGACTCATGAAGAAACCTTAGACCTCAATTCTTGCTTCCTTTCTGTGCCTAGACTAAAGTTAGGTGAATTTTCTTGATGTACACCTATATTTGAAGGGAGAGGAAAGATTAGCAACTTTTGGAAGTGAATTTGGAATCTGGCTTTGGACTTAGTCCCTCCAGGAGGGAGAGAAGTGGAAGTGGTGGGATAATATTGTCCTTTATGGAAGGAGATGCTGGTGTCTAGCAGATTAGTCATGCCAAGCCCTAGAGGCTTTGAAAACCATTTAAGCATAGCCTTGGAAGAGGGCAGAAAGGTTGTTCTGTTCTTCTTTGCCTTTGCAAAGTAGTTGTGGTGAGAGAATTCTGCTTTCATTTATGAATACTATGGTTTGCTTAAAATATAAGTGATGGGTCTCCCTGGTGGCGCAGGGCTTAGTCTCAGAGCTATCAAATTATCACCAGCCACTGCGGCAGGAGTTCGATCCCCGGCCAGGGACCTGACCTACATGGCGCAACAGACCTCTCCTGTCTCACACACTGCCCCCTTCAGCAGTGTCTTTCTTTCTTTTTTTTAAAGATTTATTTATTTATTTATACAAGCATTGGGTACAGTCAGAAGACTGGGAGGGTGAGAGAATTCACCAGAGCCAGAGCGGGGAGCAGAACAGGCAGAAGGACCAAAGTACACTGCTGAGGGGAGCAGTGGGTGGCAGGAGAGATCTGCGTTCCATGTGGGACCCTCGCTGGTGGCCTGGGATCGAACCGGTACTGCAGAGGCTGCAGGCAGCTTCGCAGCCCAGCGCTCAACCGCTGCGCCACCAGGGGAGACCCTCTGCAGTGTATTTCAATAGATCCACCTGTTATGCTCCTCACTCTGTCTCTGGTGAATCCTCTCATCCCCCACATCTCTGACTTGCACCCCAGTTCTTGTATACATAAAATAAATTTTTAAAAAATCAATAAAATAAAATATATGTGACTCTGGAGCCGTAATATCCACTTGTAGTTACTGGATACTTGAAACATGGTTATTGTTGCTTAGTGAAATGATAGTACTTTGGATACATCAAATTAAATATTAACACTAAAAATTATTAAAACTAATTTCACTTGTTTCTTTTTAAAATGTAGCTACCAGATTATTTCAAATTACATATTTGATTTTCATTATGTTTCTGATGTTCTGGAGGCTTAGGGTTGAAGGGGCGGTTCTGGCTCTAATTCAGGAACTCAAAGGTGAAGAGTGCGTTGACGCAGAGTGACTAAGACTCGAGTGGGTAAACACATACCAGCCCACACTCTAATCCTAGTGTACCTCTCTTCCTTCAACTATTCAGTTAACTTAAATGACTTCATTGTTTTTTTTTGCAAATAAACTTTTAAATTTAGTACAGGTTTGGATTTATCAAAAACCCACAAGGATACAACGGAATTCTTGTATTTCCAGGCCAGTTTTCTCTATTTTTAGTATCCTGTGTTGATTTGGCACCTGTATTATAGTCAGTGAATCCATATTGATACATTATTATGAACTGAAGTTATACTTTATTCAGATTTCCTTGGTTTTTGACCTGATGTCCATTTACTATTCCAGGATCTCATCCACAACACCATGAAACACTTAGTGTCACTCCTCCTTAAGCTTCTCTTACTTGTGACAGTTTCCCAGACTCTTCCTTATCTTTAACAACTTTGCAGTGAAAAGTAATACTGGTCAGATATTTTATAGAATGTTCCTTAATTGGAATTTACCCATTGTTTTTCTGGTGACCAAACTGGGGTTTTAGGTTTTGGGAGAAAAAACCCGAGTGAAACACCATTTTCATCACATCACAGCAAAGGTACATATTGATGTCGTAACTATGCATGTTCTCGTTGGTCACCTGGCTGAGGCAGTCAATTTTCTCCACTGGAAGATTACTCACCTAGCTTGCTCCCCCATACTGTTGGGAAGGAAGTCAAATACATAGTCCACACATAAGGAATAAGGGGTCATACTCCACCACTGTGGAGGCTGGGTGGCTATGTAAATTATTTGGAATTTTTTTAATAGAGATGAGATTGTCTTTCTCCATTTATTTACTTGTCCAGTCATATCCATGAATTCATGGATATTTATTCTATACCTTGTATTAATTGTGATACTACTTGACCTCACTGCTCCAAAATTACTTCTGATGGTGCCATCATGAGATGGATGGCATGAGAAAATGATCTACTTGTATTCTTCTTCCCACCTCCCATCTCAGTTTAATTATTTCTTTCATAAAGGAAAATTTGCTGTACCTCACTCATGCAAGTTTTCTTTTAAGATCTCAGTTTCCACAAATACTTGCTGAGTGCTAAGACTGATTCATGCATTCACTTAGCACTTAGTGACTACCACCATGTACTTGTCTGGGCTAAATAGGGGGATTAGAGAAGTGTCACTGTGTCCTACCCAAGTCAAGAGGTAAACATGGCTCCCAAACACGAACATTCAGAGAATTTTTTGCCAGGAATTTGAGCAGAGCAAAGCAGCAAGAGCGGATGGTGTTGCTGCCTGAGACTCCTCTTTAGCAGAGACTTTCACTGAGTTCCTCCTCCCTCAGTCCCCTGGCTCCTGAGCACTATCCTCCCTGAGTTTGGACCTTAGTTTTTTTGGATGAATCTGTGAGCTCCCCTAATGAATTCTAATGAATTCCCCTTCTTGGCTTGGGTTAGCCAGAATCGGTTCTTTTATATTCAGAGGATGCTAAGTGTTGCTTGAGTAAAGACATGGAGCAGAGAAAAGAGATGTGCTTGAGTGGTATCGAAATGTCTGGTTAGCATAGAGACACCACTGGAGAGCTGGTGGTTGGAAATAAAGTTGGCAAAGTTACTTGGGTCTGGAATGTAAAGGCCCTGAACTGCTAGGCTCAAGTGAACCCATCAAAGCCACATTTTAGGAAGGTTAAATGGGGAAAGAAGGGTAGCTGGTCTCATAGCTTCTTTTGTGATTGCTTCTACTCTTCTACATTATTTATTCAATTTACTATCCTTCCTCAAGAAATGATTATATGCCAGGCTCAGTGTTAGATTTTAGGACTCTAAAGATGACTAAGACAGATTCTTGTCTTCTCAGAGTCACCAAGCCAGAAGGTAAATCAGACATATAAGAGAGAGATAAATCATTAGGATTATGTAAGAGTCTAGGTGTTTTCTTAAGAGGAAATGGTTGGTTAACTCTTAGGTTGGGTTAGGAAAGACTTCAAAGAGGTAGTGCTTCATGAAGAGGGCTTGTAGAGCAGATAGCCAGGTGGCCAGGTGATAGACAGTGGGGATGGGCATAAGCACTGGATTATGCAAACATGGCATCCTGGAAATATGTCAGGATTAGATCAGAAGGTTTAGGTTGGTTCAAGATGAGAGTGGGTGAAATTGTCCAGAGACAGAGACCATAGTCATGAGAGAAGGGAAACAAGGTTTAACTTTGAGGAACACTGGCACTCGAAGGATAAAAAAGAGGGTACTCAGCAGAGGACACTGAGCCAACAGTGTCCCCAAGAATCACAAGATCAGGGTGCCAGAGAAGCCAGGAGAGCAAAGTTCTAGGACCAGAAGAGCAGAGTGGCAGATGCCACAAGATTAAATACAGGGGCCTCCCCGGTGGCGCAGCTGTTGAGCGCTGGGTTGCAAAGCTGCCCGCAGCCTCTGCAGTGCTGGTTCGATCCGCGGCCGCTGGGCGAGGGTCCCAGATGGCGCGCCCGCTGCTCCCCTCAGCAGAGTACTTCGTCAGTCTGCCTGCTCTGCTCTCCCCTCTGGCTCTGGTGTATTCTCTCACCCTCCTGCGCTTCCGACTGTACCCAGTGCTTGTATAAATAAATAAATCTTAAAAAAAAAAAAGATTAAATACAAATAGGTCCAAAGAGTGCCCATCCCTTTAGACAAAGGAAAGGTCATTCGTCTTCATGAGAGCCAGTTTGGTGGAATGGTGGGGAGGGGTAAGATCATAGGAAGGGAAAGGGGCGTTGCGGAAGGAGAAGTGACAGTGGAAGGGAGGGAGGGATATTAGTTATACAGCTGAGGACGGATCTGAAGAGAAGTCTTCCTTTGTTTTGTTTTGTTAAACTGGTCCTGGAGGTCCTTGCCAGGGACTTTCCTAACTACGGAGTACCTGCAAGAAGAGGAGATGTTCCTTCTGATGTGTAAATGTATTATCTTGTTCCTGGTCCCAGATGGGCTTTTTTTATTTCATATTCTGTTCTATCACAAAAATACACTGTGATTCTATTGTAACTATGTGGAGATGGTGCATGAATTGATGTGCCAGCAACCAATAGACTGGGATTATATACTAATTTTTTTCTAATCTTACCATATGTAGATTTAGCTTTTGCAAAGAGGAAAAATCAAGCTATATTTTGATTTAAAATATGTATTTTTCTTTAGGGAAATATTTAAAATACACCCGAAACACCTTAGATGATATCTAGCCCCCCAGCTCGGGTGGATCAAACAGAAGGCACTTGGAGCTAGGAGAACGGAATTACTATTCAAGTAAATACTGCCCACTTAGTGTTGACTATTCTTTTGAAAGGCCAGTAAACTGGCAGTTTCTGGGTTCATTTCAAGCTTTGGGTTTGGACTCAGTAGCCCCGACACTAAATATTTCTTCCATTCGACCCAGTTCTTAATGTTAACAAATATACAATTTTTAAAGGAATGTTAGATTTTTCCAGTTTTTGAAATAGTTTTTGTGGGTGACTTTTAAGTTTTAATAATCCGTTGTCCCCAATTCATTAGAGTTGTAATTTTACAGTTTTCCCCAAACTACCTCTAAATCTGCTGTTCCTGACATAATAGGTTTAGTTTCTCTTGAAAATATCATGACATCTCTTTATAATTAGGTGTTCCATAGGATGATGTATTTTCAGGTAGTCTAGAACCAATGACTTAACATGATTCCTGACCCATCAAACAATCATGGTCATTTATCTGACATGAAAACTCCCTAATCTGATTCGCCAGAAAGGAAGAAGGTGTATACATATAGAACTTATAAAATATTAAATTTGTATCCTTAGCATCTCCTTGATATTATTTTCCTTTCAGATGAGAAGAAGCAGATGGTTGCAAATGTGGAGAAACAGCTTGAAGAAGCAAAAGAACTGGTATGTACAGACTTAGTAATATATTTTAACACAGCCAGGGTCATTTCAACTGCTGCCTCCTTTTAGCCTGTTTTATTCATTGTAGGAATGTGAAACTCTACTGATTAACATTTTATAATTTGGAATTCATCAGTTTTCAATTGCAGAGAAGTTAGTAGCTCCATGCAATTTTATTCTTATTAATAAAGGTGTTTCATTAAATGTTGACCTCTCATTTTTATTCCTAATACTTTTTATAATAACTATAAATAGCAATCCTTGTTTAAAGGCATGCTGGGTACCAGACCTGGATTCAGCCTATTACTTGCTTTATAATATTAAAAATTTCACCAAAACCCTGTAAGGCAAGTATTACTAGTCAAAAATTGTTAAGGATATGAGATTACTCCCTACTTACAAGTTAGCAAGTGAGCACAGTTTCATGGATGCTAATGGGAGACATGACATTCCTAGGTCAGAGACAAAAGACTTTATCACTCACAGCAAAAGCAGTTTCCAGAGTTTCAGTATGCTTGCCTAGGTTCTGAGCCCCATTCAACAGGGGTGAGACAGGAGTCCCTTTATGTACAGTTGAATATCTGCAGGAGGAGAGTGGGGAATCAGGGAAACACACTACTTTATGGCATCTTGTAATCTAAAAGTCCACATTATTTTCTTCCTCAACTTTGCTTCCTGCAAATCCAACCCTGAAAAGTAGCCTTGCATTCTTGGTATGCTCAATAGGACCTGAAAGTCCATGAGAGACCCTTGGAGGAGTGATTCTAAACACTGATATTACCCCCATTTTGTAGATGGGGAAATGAAGTCTTAGAAAGACTAGTTTTGATATAAAAAAATTTACAAACCAAAGACCAAAAAGCAATGTGTTCCAATTTTTTTTGTTTTAAAAGCCAAGTATTGCAGCTGATTCAACTCACTACTGTGTTATACTCCCAGATGAGTGTTGTTTTTATAAATACCAAAGGGTATTGTTGGTGTTCTCTCAGTATTACTTACTGAAATACGTGGGATGGTTCCCCACAGTGTGTTTCTGTTAACTGTTATTACCTGTCCCTATACGTTTGGGCAACAGTAGCTTAAAGAGAGTTGGGGATTGGACTATTTTTTTGGTTATTGTTTTTCTGCAGAATCTTCTTGAACCCTTATGTAGACTAAGTGTTGTTAATCTCTAAGAAGAGACTATAAGGGGGGCAGTTAGAAAATGGGGCACTGCAGAAGCTTATTTGTTAACAGGGCCGTCCACGGAGGGTCAGAAGGAATAGGTGGCCATTGCTTCCCATTGCACCCAGACATCTGCTAAAGTGGTGAATTGTCTTCCTTCTTGCTAGATCTTTTTTAGCTGTTGGATTTTAGAAGATTAGAAGATCTACTTCTGATCTCTGCTGGCTGTTGTCCTTCTCATCTGCACAACTTCTAATGTTTATTTCTTTTGAAAGTTTCCTTTTTCCAAAAATTTTGTCTAAGATATATATTTGTGTTTTTCTGAAATTTCAATCAAAGCTGATTTACTTAATTCTGACAACATCCTTGGAAAGGACAGTGCTTGTTAGATTTCATACTGTACTTTTGATGAGGACCTGGGACAAAAACTTGTTGATTTGATTTATTGGGAGTGGTTGTGTTTCTGCTGGATAAATGTCTGTGTGAATCTCTTGGACACTCCGCTCTTCTTGTTGCTGTGTCCACATCGACCTGTGAATGCAGTGGCAGTAGGATATAAGCGCGGAGTGGCCTCATGGCTGATTTCTCTTCAAGTGCTTGTCATGTGTTTCCTTTTTTCTTTCTTGCCTATTTTTAATTTAGTTTTGAATGTCCTTGTGAAATGTCTTAAACAGAAATGCACCCACTCCCAGATTTTCACTTGCATGTACCTTTGCAGTTATTTGTCTGGATGATCCTTTTCACAAGTACTTCGTGATGATTTCAGAGAAGTGCTTTAAATGATTCCCTTGCAGTGTAACTATTTAGTTTATTGGTGCTTCCCATTCAAGTTGAGACATCAATCATTTAAATGCTCATTGTCTAACGCAAGTATAATTCAGCTTGTCTTCTCATTTATTAATAAAATTGACATGTGTGAATTGAAATGTGGTTTTCTTGGTTTGCTTGTGTTCTGCTGTCATTTTCTGGTCTCTGACATTAGACAAGTTAGATTTATTACTGATAACTTATTAGAATACTGTAAAGGGCACCAGACATGGCACCATTTTTTAAGGTGAGTTTATAAGATGTGGCCTCAGTCAATTTGTTGTTGCAGTTATTTTTTATTTCAATGCCAAGTATAAATAAGTAACCTCTGATGCTTTGTATTTTGCTTGCTGTGTTTCTTCCCCATCATCTAGTGATGCCATTTATCTAGTGATTGCTAAGTAAGAGACACTGCTCTAAGCACATTGTGGGAGTTGCCTCGTTTAATCTTCACAGCTGCACTACAAAAAAGAAAAAATTATTATCTTTAGAAATAAGGAAAGTAAGACCTGGAGGGTTAAGAAACCTGCCCGAGGTGCAGGACTACTAAATAGTGGCGTCTGCAACATGACCGCCGTGTCCAACTTGAAAGCCTATGGTCTGAACCATCAGGTTGTGTCCAAAGTGTTCTGTAACAGCAGATTAGGGTAAGTGTCTTGCTGTGACCTCAGTGGGCGTGGTGTGATTTTCCATATTTTTATTTATCTATTTGACTCTATGTCTGGTTATAAAGTACAATGAATCAGGCTGGGGGCAAGGTCCTTTATCTGTTGGTATGTGATTTTCCTAATCAGAAAAGACTTTCCAAATGAATTTTCACCAAATCACTAAGGCTGGGCTGACATTTGTGACTTAATGGTAGAAATACTGGTGGAAATGGTAGAATCGTTCTGGTGGTTTGTGATCAAAAGACCAGGGCAGGTTGGACTGCACAATGGAATATATGAGGTTATTAAGGTCATTCTTCTTGAAGCTGTTTGGATTAATATGTATGATTTAACAGAAATCCTGGTCACGGCAAGAGCTTTGACACCCTGCATGCCAGGTGCCAAGCACTCAACATTCTTTGCTGAATGATGAAGAATAACATAGATGAAGCATAAAACATAGATGAAGCATAAAAGCAGTCCCAACATTGGGGCCTCCCTGGTGGTGAAAAGGCTTAGGACGCAGCACTATGAAGCTATCTGCAGCCACTGCAGCACGAGTTCGATCTCCAGCTAGGGAGGTGACCCACACGGGACAGTAGACCTCTCCTGTCTCGCTCACTGCTCCCCTCAGCAGTGTATTTCAGTACATCTGCCTGTTCTGCTCCCCACTCTATCTCTGGTAAATCCTCTCAACACCCCCCTCCCCCTATCTCTGGCGCACCCTAGCTCTCGTATGCATAAATAAATAAATCTTTAAAAAAAAAAAAAAAAAGCAGTCCCAATACTATTTAACATGGGCATTTAGCTCCTTGGGCTGGTTCCTACTGAAAAATGAGGAATTGGAATCAGTCCTTTAAGCGCTATACTTCCGGTCAAATAAGGAATAAGCTCATGGTTGGAGTCATGTTTTCTCTTACTCTTCCAGCTTGAACAGATGGATCTGGAAGTCCGAGAGATCCCTCCCCAAAGCCGAGGAATGTACAGCAACAGGATGAGAAGCTACAAGCAAGAAATGGGAAAACTCGAGACAGATTTTGTGAGTCCAGTTCCATCCTCTATGGATATTTACTGATCTTTAAACTGAATTTTCACCTATATTTTACATATTCCGCCCCACACTGTGAGCAGCATTAAATGTGTGGTCTTTGGGAGCTTGTGCAAAAGACAAGTAATACCTCTGTTGTGTTTGACTCGAGGCTCTAACAGTGCTATGGAGCTAGTGGATGACCCAGTTGAAGGGATGCAGGATTCACAACTCACAAATAGAGCTATGGAAGGTGGTTCGTGGCATTTAGGAAGCATCTAGCACTTACTAGAATTTTGAAACCCAGTTTTGGGCCTCTCAGAGTTTGCTCCCTTTCAAATGCAGGCTCATGGGTGCCCCGAAAGCACTCAGGGCTCCGTGTGTGCCTTCTCAGTGCATGTTCCTCTGGGATGGGCTTCAATAGATTCTTGAAAATACAGATTTAATTTCCTCTTCTTGCAAGGGCACCATCCATGTTGGAGAATGACTTCCTTTTAACTGAATTCAAGACCCTATTTCCAAACACAGTTACATTCTGAGATGCTCAGGATTAGGAGTTCAACAGATGACTTGCAGTAGACACATTTCAGCTCATACTTCTGAATATAGTCTTAATCTTTCTTTCTTGAAAAGTTTTCAAAAGCTCACTTGCTTCTACAGTTTATAAATCAGGTCGTGGAATCTTTAGTCTTTTTGTTTCCTGAAGAGTCTAATCTAATCCTTTAGGTATTTGATTACTGTATACTTGGGTAAGTATTTCTCAGGTATATTTTCCATCATAAAGAAAAATGGAACCAGCAACTATGACCTAAAAAGTCATTTTCTGGGCCACATTCACGATGGGTGTGTTTATGTGTATATTCACCACCACGGCATCTTTTCACTGAGTCAGAAAACATCTCTCTCCCAGCCCTCACTGTGGACAGCCATCCCCATTTTACCCATGAGAGAACACATGAGAGGCTCAAGTGTCTACAGATTTCATTCAACAAGTCTTCTTCTAAGTCCTATAGCACAATAACAGGCACTGGAAAAGCCAGAATAAGATCAAGGTCTTGCTGTTGTGGAATTTAAATTCTATGGGGAAGACAAGAAACAAATAAATGGATCCCTGTGTATCACAATTTCAGTTGGTTCAGTTGGTGAGAAATGCAGTAAGTGACAATGAAGGCAAGAACTGGGTGGAGAGACTACTTTTGTGGCTATTTTTGCAAGGGTGTCTCTGTGGCTTGAGAGGGAGAAGGGGAGAGATGCTTGAGGCTACAGAGGGAGGCAGAAGAAAGATGGATAAGGGTGCTGTAGGCTTGGTCAAGACCTTGGCTTCCATTTTGGTGGAGAAGGCATTGCAGGGCTATGAGAAGTGAATGTTCCTTTGTCTCATTTTATAGCTTTCTCCTCTTACACAGCACCTCACATCAGGTATTTGAACAAACTAGAAAATATCCATATAATTCCCTTTTGATTTTTATTTATTATATTTAATTCTTTTATTCTTTAAAGGAATAAAGGATCTCTTTAAAGATATTTGTTAACTTTCTTGTGGTGATATATCATACCTAGAATGACAAGAAAAAAATCACAGGGGTGGCCCTTCATCTATCTCTGTTTATTAGAACCGAATTGGCTCCCCTAACCCCTTGTGATATCGAGACATTGAGGGAGGGACATAGGGCGACTTGATGCTTTCTTCTTAAACCTCATTACCCCCTTGCTCCTCTGTCTTGGCCTCTCCTCCTGTGCCAGTTGCTTAGAGACCTCTTTTCGCCACTGTTCTTCTCCATGTTGTCATTCACTCCTGTGGCTTCCAGGACCACATTATACTAACCTGCATTCTGACCAGACCTCTTGGTGACCCCTGAGTCCTATGTTGTGCTGTCTACTGAATTTCTACCCCAGAGCCCTTTGAACAGAAACACTTAAATTTGACAAATAGTTGTCACCTTAGAGTTCTCTCTAGTTTGTCCTCTCTGTCACCTTGTACATCCTGTAGATCACTGAGCATGACAATCCTGCCTCTGCAGTGTCTCCCACCTCCTTTGCCACTTCTGGAACCCTTCGTAGCTCTCTGTCTAGGTGACTGAAGCAGCCTTTCTTCCTCTGCCACCACCCACACCAAGCCTTCTCTGCATGGCTCTGAAATTGTCTCTAACACACTGGTCTGAATCTGTCACGCTGTTGCACAGAAGCCTAGAGTCTTCACTGCCTACTAAATGAAATCCAGGTCAACTTCCAGGTTTTGTGTTCTATTCGCATACTTCTTCACATGTCTAGTGATTTTATCACATGCTTGGTGTTGTGGATCCTACATTATTAAAAGCCTAGGTTTTGTTGGTTTCCTTTAGAGCAGTTCATCTCAACCTCCATGTCCTTGCAATACCTAAGATCCTTCATGCTCCCAACGATTAATCTTTGCTTCTGTGGGCATGAATCAAAGTCACCTCTTCACAGTACTTATTTCAGCAATATTGAGCCTTATTTAGGCAGGCAGATGATTGAACCAATGAGGTCACTCCTTTCTAGGCTTATTGTTAAGCTCCGTTAGGGCCTGTCTACTGTCTTCAGTAGCCTTCCTTTTGAGATGTGGCCTCCAGACCGGAGCATCTAGCAAATGCCATACTCTGTGGTCAGAATTCTGTCTCTCTTGCATCCATTTCCCAGCTGAACTTCAACCATCTCAGCCACCCCACATCCAACATCTGCTTCCTAAGTTCAGCTCCACTTGGGCCCACCCTGCACCAAAGAGCCTTGACAATGGCCAGGCTCCCTTCAAACTCCTCTCTAATAGTTTGAAATCCTATCCTGCCTGGTGTTCCATTTTTTAAAAGCATTGCTTCATAATTGTGTTCAGTTGTTTAGAGTGGTTGTGTTCATCTTCACTTTGTCAGGACTGGGAAACACTGCAACTGCAGTGTTGTTTTAATGCTTACTTATCTGCAGTGACTGCATGTGCATCTGAGAATGAAAAAAATAATTGCTGTTTACTGTGACCTGTCATAGAATTTAATCTGGAAGTGACTAAATACCTTTTGAAAAGTTTCGAAATCCAGGCTACACATGGTAGTAATAATTGTAGGGGGTGAAGGGAAGTCAGTGCTCGCAGGTCTGTTCCCTTTCACACCTTCATTATTCCTGATAATTCTTTTCATTTACCTAATTCCATTTTTCTTGGTTTTTGGTCTTAGCTTTCTGGGGCATCTTATATTCTCAGGGTAATTTAGCATTATCAGGTCACTAGCAGGTCAAGTACCAGCCCCTTCTTTTTTGATAAGAGAAAATGGAAGACAAATGATTACTGGAGATCAAATGATTAACCTTAAAGTAACACCACTCTTTACAGACAGGACAGAAGCAAATAAATTGAGCACGTGTTTTGATGTTCTCCCCATGAGTCTGTGTAACACCCCCCCCCATCTTTAAATTTCCATAAAAATTTACTAATAGCCTCTTTATTTGGAATCAACTTTAGAAAACATTGGAATTTATGTATTTGAACCGTTCTTTTTATTTCTTTGTTCCCAATTGATTGCTTCAGGTGTGGTCATGTCAGGATGCTCCAGGAAGGACAAAAAGAGGGGAGCTATTGTTGAGGGTTTGTTTCAAGTTTAAGATTATGATTTGCTTTTTATAAAATAACAACAAACAAACAAAAATTCCCTAGACTTGCACAGACAAACAGAAAAAGTCCCTAACATTGTATAAAATATTCAACTAAGTTTCATTTCTTTTTTTTTTTTTTTTTAATTTATACAAGCACTGGATACAGTCAGAAGCGCAGGAGGGTGAGAGAATTCACCGGAGCCAGAGGTGAGAGCAGAGCAGGAAGTACACTGCTGAGGGAGCAGTGAGCGGCAGGAGAGGTCTGGCACCATGTGGGGCCCTCACCCATGAGGCCGAGGATCGAACCGAAGCTGCAGAGGCTGCGGGCAGCTTCACAACCCAGCGCTCAACCACTGTGCCACCGGGGAGGCCCGCGACTAAGTGTCAGTTAGTAGAAAAAGAAAGGAACACGTAGGTGATGTGGCAGGATAAATTCTGAAAGGTTTGAGGACAGGATGTGTTGAATTGAATGCCTGGCCAGCGCGGATATAGTGCTGGAGTGCTCGCGCCATCTTGTGGTTGATTTCTATCGTTGCAGATTTCATTTTTGGAGCAAAGCTGAACTTAAGGACTCACACACACATATACAGGATTTGAGGTGGAGGATTCGATGGTAATGGGTGTTAGAAGTAGAGCTTTCTCACCTCAGCCTCAAGTTCACTTCCACCCCAGGTCAGTGGTGCCTGAACGCTGTCCTTTTCCTGTTCGGCAGGTTATGTGATGTGATTGTTAAGCCAGCTCCTGGCGCAGAGCTGCCTACATCAGAGAATGGTGCTTCTATTGACAGTCTCAGCAGTGAGGCTGAATGGTCCTAGCAGCCCAACTACCCGCAGACTATCAGAGTTGGTCCCTTAGGTCAGGGTTCAAAGGATGTTGCCGAACAGCTTGAAGCTTTTGCTTTGCTATCTGCACTTTCTTTTGATAGGTGAATGGACAGCTTGTGTGTCTGGGCTTATGAGTGAAGCCAGTACCTGTATTCTGGTGTTGTTTTTTTTTAAAGATTTATTTTATTTATTCATACAAGAGTTGGGGTGTAGGCCATATGTGGGGGGTGGAGGTGAGAGAATTCACCAGAGACGGAGTGTGAAGCAACAGGAGGATTGACTGAAATACACTGCTGAGGGGAGCAGCAGGCGAGACAGGAGAGGTCTGCTGTGCCATGTGGGTCAGCTCCCTGGCCAGGGATCAAACTCATGCTGCAGTGGCTGCAGATAGCTTCATAGTGCTGAGACTTAACCCCCAGCACCACCAGGGAGGCCCCGGCTTTGTTGTTGTTGTTATTGTTGTTGTTTTAAGTCTAAGATAGACCACAGAAGTGTAAATGAGAAAGAGGAACTCTTAAATTTTGATTTTTGTCAAAGGTCAAGAACTGAATGCTTCTGTTTGTATTTTTATCTTTTCTATTCTTATGACTT